CTAGTCGGCGGATTAGGTAGCTCACCTTATGAGAGACGTTTAGAAAAGCTAAACATATTTCCTGTTTCTTATAGACAATACGGAGGGGATATAGAATAGAACTGGTTTATTATTGCGCTCCTTGGGCACTGTCAGTCTACTTTAGGATAGTTCGAGGGCTAGACTATGCTCTTCAGTTTGACGATTTCTTCGAACTGGCGCAAACGACCAATCTTCGAGTCCACCAATACAAATTGAAGATAAAATATGCCAAACTTGAAGTGTGGGCCAAATTCTTCTACCACCGACTGGTTGAAGGGGGAAGTGATTTGCCGAATTCCGTTGTTTTGGCGGAAAACGTTGAGACCTACCAACAAGACATGATAAATTTATGCTTGGCGGTCAAAATATCTACTCGATACCAATGACTAGAAAACTGTTACGTAAATATTTGCATGTTTTTCATCCTTCTACCTGTAAATAGGGTTGTCTAAGGCTCTGCCTATCTCCCTTATACATGCTGAATATTGAATACGAACCCCCTCTCGGGTCCCAAAGGTTTGTTCGAGCTGTCCACAAATGTCTTCGCTGCTTTTGTCAAGATGAAGGTTGTTCTGGTCGACTCCACGCTCCTGACTCATTTTTCTCCTGATGCTCCCATTTCTCTTATGGTTGACGCCTTCAATGTTGCTGTAGGAGCGGTTCTCCAAAAGCACCTTGAAGGCCACACCCAACCCTTGGATTTCTTCCCCAGGAAGTTATTACCTGTCGAGACGGGTTATAATACATTTGGACGAGAGTTCCTTGCTGTCTTCTCCACCGCGAAACACTTACGACAGTTCCTTGAGGGTAGGGACTTCGCTGTGCCCATGGATCACAAGCCCCTTTACTTCGCTTTCAATTCCACTTTTGACAACCTTACCCCCACAAGACATTCGCCAACTGGACTACATCTCGCAGTTTACCTAAAAAATCCGTTACATCGACGGGTCACGCAATGAGGTGACTGAAGCACTGCCCAGGTCCTCCATCACACATATCCAACTTTCTCCGGGGATCGATCTAGCTGAGCTGGCTACCAAACATGGCCGTGTTGCCCCCCCTCCCACTGTGACGAAGACGTTTCATGACTCCAACTCCAAGACCCGCCACTAACTACTGGAAATGGCTCCACTCTACGCGACGTCCCCATCACTTTCCGCCGTCTCTTTGTGTCACCATTCCTCCGCCGCAAAGCCCTCTCCTCCTGAACAACTTCTCCCAACCTGGGAGTCGAGCCACCGACAAGTTGGCTTCCGACTGCCTCGTCTGGCTTTGGATGCACAAGGGCCTGAAAGCATGGACACGGGCTTGTCTCGGCTGTCAGTGGAATAGGGCCCAACGGTGCATCAAAGTTCCTATCGGCACCTTCCTCACTTCGGATGCACAGTTCAATCATGTCCACCTGGAGATTTTGGGTCCCCTGCCTCTGTTCAATGGCTGTTCTTATTTCCTCATCTGCGTGGATCGATTCACCCGGTGGCCAGAAGCTATCCCTCTGCCCGATATCACTGTTCCAACAGTCGTCAAGCCTTTCCTCAGTCGCTGGGTTGTCATTATCGGTGTCCCCTCCACTATCACGACTGACCGCGGTGCCTAATTTGAACGTAACCTCTTCCAGTCTCTTCTCCCCCTTTTAGGCTGTACTCGCATCCACACTACAGCATATCATCCGGCAGCCAACGCGATTGTCAAGCGGTTTTACCGCCAGCTCAAGGCCTCCCTACGCGCCGCAGACGATCCGGAGAACAAGACGGACCACCTCCCCATGGTTCTGTTGGACATTCACCCCTCTTTCAAGTCGGACCTTGACTGTTCCGTTGCTGAACTCGTGTTTGATAACACCGTCCGAGTTCTCGGTCAGATGATCTCGCCAAACCCGACAGTTGTATTTGAGGAGCCTAACAGCCTCTTGAACCCTCTCCGGCAATTCATGCGGACACTCTCCCCGGTTCCGCCCAAGCCATCTGTCTCCGAGTCTTACCTTGAGAAAGATTTGGCGATGTGCTCCAACGTCTATATCCGAAGTGATCGAGTCTGTCGGCTCCTGGGACCACCCTACGACGTCCTATTCTGGGGTTATCTCTCGTGGGACGAAGAACTTCGCATTCAGTGCGGAACTCACGAGGAGGACGTGCTTATGTGCCGCCTCAAATCTGTCATCCCGGACACTCCTCCGGATGGCCCCTTTGATCCTTTATCTCCTACTCCAAATTCGCGACCCTCTATCGATCCGTCCCGTATACGTCCGCTTCCCACATGTTCGCTACCTCCAACGGCACCTATCCCCTCATCAACCACCAACTCTGTAACCGCAAGCCATACTCACTATTAACCTGTGCCTGATGTATTTGTAGCTCGTAGTGAACGCCATGTTCATTTTCCTGACAGTTTAGTTGCTCATGTTTTTTTTAAGACATGAACACGTCCTTCGGCTCCGTTACACATCGCCTTCGGTCTAGCCGGGAGTACTGTGACAGTCTGCGCCTACTAACTCTCCGTAGCTCCGTCACACTTCGTTCCTGTCTGTCTAACACTCCCTGTCGAATTGCTGTTGGGACGCGCGAGGCTTGTCACTAGCCTAGCGAACGCTCGAAGCCAAACAACGCTGCCCCTTCTGTGACTGGCTGGCGCCACCAAAGCAGAGTGAAAAGCACATACGTGCTGGGGTCTATGCACCTCGACGGCGCGTCCATAGGACGCAAGTTACCTGGAGGGGCGGCTCGCGGCGGCTGAGCGCAGAACCTCTGTGTTCGCACTTCTTCAGCAGTAAAAGTTATTAAAAGCAACCCGTCTTCCCTGACTTCTGATTTGGGAACTTGTCTTGTCGATCACAGCACATCGACAAGATAATTCGATGTCAAGATAATCGTAGGCGATTTTAATTTGCCAGAAATTGACTGACACACACATACTTCTCCTCCTAAATTCCAGAAGCTGCTTGACACAATTTACTTTTCAAACCTGACTCAATTAGTTCCCACTTCGACCAGAAACGATAGTGTTTTAGACTTAATTTTTACTAATGGCACCTTCCTTTTATCTATGGATTTTTATCATGACCTCTTTGCAAGTGATCATGCATTAATCCATTGTCGCCTTCCAGTTGCCATTTCCGCAAAGCCAACAGTTCAACGTAGTATTTTTGACTTTGCTAATGTTAATAAGGAATTAGTAAATAACTTTACATGCACTCTTGATTGGCACAATATTTTTTCAAATAATGATCTAAATTTTTTCAACAATTTATTACAATGCGTAACAGAAGGTCTTCTTGACCTTATTCCTCGGAAGATGTTCAAATCGAGTGCTAATTCCACCGCTATCCCACACTTTCTTAAAAACAGACTTAAAAAGTTACGGAAGCAGTTTAAAGATCCTTCTGTGAGCTCATTATCAGTTCATCTAAGAATCGTTGAAATATTTTAACTAGCTTCGAAAATGAGGCTCGAGCGAGATAGGCGTACAGAGTCTTTAGCTATTAATGACGTGAATTCTTCTTAATCAGTTGCTCAAATCTTCCGTCAGAGATCATCTGCTAAGTCCCACCAAGTCATTTCGCCCTTGATTAGTGCAAGTGATGCCTTCATTACAGAGGAGTCAGGCAAAGCAGAAATTTTAAATTCGTTCTTTGCCAAGCATTTCACCATTGAAACTGATCCGATTCCTTTAATTCCTTCGTTGTCTGATGCTTCTCTTAGCATCATTTATTTTTCTCCTGAATGTATTCAAAAACTGATAAGCCATCTTCCTAACTCTCACTCAGTAGGTACGGACAATATCCCAAACTCTTTGATAAAACAGCTAAGAGATTTTCCTCCTCTGCTTAGCAAAATCTTTTCAGTATTTCTCGTAAATGGCTTCTTCCCTTACTATTGGAAAACTTCTATTATTATTCCAGTATTTAAGTCTGGCTGTCCTTCTGACGTACAGAACTATCGAGGTGTCCATAAAACACCCTCTCTCGCCAAAATCTTCGAAAAAATTATCGCCGTAAAAATTACCGAATTTTGCATAGCCAATCAAGTTATTAGCCCTTCCCAGCATGGTTTTTTTACCAGATCGCTCTTGTGAAACATGTCACCTGTCGTTTCTCGATCTACTCACCTCTCTTCGTAATGATCACCTATCTGTTTTCGTTATTTATTTTGATCTTAGTAAAGCCTTTGATAAAGTGTCACATAAAAGACTCTTGATTAAATTGGAAGCTATGGGAATTTGCAGTCCACTAATAGACTTTCTCAGGTCATACATGTCTAATCGTAAACAAAAGGTTTTGGTGGGATTTTCACTTTCCAGTGAAAGTCCTATTGTAAGCGGTGTCCTACAAGGTACCGTTTTAGGTCCTCTTTTGTTCTTGCTTTACATAAATGATATTTCAGCAGCAGTTAAACATTCTCAATCATTTATTTATGCCGATGATCTCAAATGTGTATATTCTTTCAATAAATCTACGAGCCTTCATTGCCTGGAGCAAATCCATGCTGACTTACCTGCTCTCTCAGCTTGGAGCTCAAAATGGCTAATGGAATTCTCTCCGTCTAAATGTCGTTATATGTGTTTTGGACCTGATAGGCTACCCCAACCTGTGGTCTTTCAAGGCACACCTATGACTGAATGTGCCACCATCAAGGATTTAGGTTTAAGCTACACTAGTAATCTTGATCTCTCGCCGCACGCTGACAGAATTACAGCCAAAGCTGCCCAGATTTGTGGCTTTATTTCTTACAATTTCTATCTTCCTGAAATTAAATTAAGGCTCTATCGTATGTTTGTACTTCCCATTCTCGAGTATTGTTGTCCATTCTTTGGTTTGATGAATGAAGCCAGTCGTTTAAAAATTGAAAATGTCCAAAGACGTTTTTCTAAAAAACTTTTAGATAGGGAACATCCCAATATCTCCTACTCAGATAGATGCCAGCTAATTAACCTAAAATTTTTATGGGTTCGAAGACTAGAAGCGGGCTTCTATCTCCTCTTTCGCATTAATCATAGTTCAAATTTTCCTCGGATTTCAACACTTACCCCTAGTAGTCGCCCATACAATCTTCGCAACTCGTCTCTAATTATACCTCTTCCAGCGTCCTCCACCTCTAAGCGCTCCCTTTTTTTCGCTTCCAGGTATACTTCCCTCTGGAATAACCTTCCAATAAATATAACATCTTCAGAAAATCTACACACCTTTAAGAGAAGGCTACGACTTTATTTGAATACTGACTCGATTAAACTTTTATTTTCCTCATCCTTCCCAGACAACTTTTTCTATGACACTGAGAAAGGGCCACCGGGAATCTAGTATGCCGCCATTAAATTTCCGTATCTGTTCACGTTTCCTTCCTTTATGAGTAGTCTCGCTACCTAAGATCCCTCACCAGAAATGTTAATTATTCCAATTTTTCAGTTCATGCATCGTGCCCTCACAGAATGCGCACCATCGTTGCTCTAGGCGAAACCTTCTGTATTCGCCATATACTAGTAGTCTGGTCGCATCTCCCTTACCCCATCCTCGGTTGGACTCGGATGAATGTAACCGACCGCATCTGGGTTCCTATCGCCTCGGGACTGATCTTCATGACGCCCTCACTGAATGCGCTGCATCGACGCACTTGGCGAAGCCTTCTATATTCGCCATATACTAGTAATCTGGTCGCATCTCCCTTCCCCCATGTTCGGATGGACTCGGTGGAATGAAACTGACCGCATCTGGGTTCCTATCAGCTCGAGACTGGTTTTCAATTTCGCCACTTATTTTTCTTATTCAAGGCGATACAGGCCAGTCCTGACCGACCCGCCTACGTACCATTTTATGAAATCCGTTACACAATGCCATATACAGCTGACATTTATTTCGGCCATGTTGATGTCGGACTATATTCCATTCTGTACCGCCACATGCAGGCCAGTCCTCCCTGTATTTTACTGATGCTATTTTTCTGAGGGGTTTTTTTTCTCCTGTTAAATTACTACAATTATTTTAAAAATTTGCTTTGGAGTTTTTTTTCACCCCTCGTTTTTTTATTTTCATTTTGCTTAACGGACTTCTAATCTCAAAAACTGTGTATTGCACTTTGTACAGATTTTGCCTACCTCGTCTAAAATTCGCATGTAAATTTATTTTTACTTGCTTTGATGGGACCCCGACGGGTCTTTGATAAAAATAATTGAATTGAATTGAATTGACAAGACACCGGGTGTAAACAGGATAATCATCATTCCGCTCCCTCAGCAAGTACTAATCATTCTGGCATTAATAAAAGGAAGTGCACAGCCCAGCATAAACCAAATGATAGACGTGTCGCCTCGTTAGATAACCTCCAGTGTGTATTTCTAAACTTTGACACCTATGGTAAAAAAATGCGTGACTGCAAAAGTAGTTAGGACAGATGGGCAGAAACCGGTAAAGGAGGCACGGCAAGGCACCAACACCCAACAAGAGCAGAATGACGACGCAGTTCTCAGACCTATTCGTGTGTCACCACTAGATAGTAGTGTAAGTTTTACTACGACGTCCAAAAATAAACAGTCAGTAGTAGAAATTGACAAATAAGCAACAAACACAGCCAAGAAGGCTTTATTAAGTACACCAGAACAACCAAAAAGCCCTAAATAATGACTGAGACATGGGCAACAGCTTCCGTAGCTGACTTCGAAATCTCTCTTTTAGGCTATACTTGCATTCGGAATGATCGTCAAGAGAGCCGTGGTGGGGCAGTTGCATCTACGTTAAGCAAACATTTGCGTTTCTGCCGCGGGACCTTCCACATTCTCCGCGGTAGAAGGCAGCTAGTGGCTCCAAGTTGCTCTAAAAGTAAGTTCTCTTTACTCGTTGGCTGCATCTATCGCCCTCCCAACGCCAATGAGAATTTTGATTGTTTGTACTCAAGGGCATTTAATGCTGCGGCCCAATTAAGCTTTTAACATAAGTTGGTTGCGGGCGACTTCAACCCCCTTGAAGTCTGCTGGTCTCCGCCGTTCGTCCTCAAAATATTCGAAGACGTAATTGAGACTGTGGATGTCGGCTTGGGGAGTCAGGCCGTCGATTTTCCCACCCAAGGATCAAGCATGCCTGACCCAATTTTATGTAGAGGTTGCATGCCTTTATCAGTGTCATCCCTTGGCCCACTCGGGGGTTCAAACCGCGGCATAGTTGTTACAACGTTAGAACTCCAAGCTGACAACATTTTGTCCCAAAAGTATGTCTTCTTCTTCGATTTGCGATCAGCTTAATTCATACGATTGGACTCATTTCTTCCTAAGTTCGGGTGCAAATGGTTGTACTGTTAAATTGTACGAAATTTTGGATCCGCTTATTTCTTGCTTCTTTTCCGAAAGAAA